AAAATGTATATACCATGTTATATAGCAAAGTGCTAATTTTAATTTTCAAGCCTCACTTTCATGTATCAAATAGTCACGTGACAGCTTAAAACAGCATACAAAGTATTATTCATAAGGTAAGCTAGATATTATGGACCAATTCTGACATGTTTTGACTTAAGAAATGATTAACATGTAAGCATTGAAAAGTAGAGCCTCGATTTCATGTTTATGGTCACGTGACCCCCCTAAAATGAGCTATGGTGCAAAACGAAGACTAACCTAGATATTCTGATCCATTTCAACTTGTTTAATGCTAGAGAAATGTAACATAGAAGCAATAAAAGCTAGAGCCTCGTTTTCATGTTGTATTTTTAGTGGTGGTTATTAAAACCCCCCTAAATTAGCCCGGTGCAACTTTCAAAGCTGGCGACAAGTTTCAACATGTTCTCTGATGTCCTCTTAAGATAACTAGACATGTCTCTTGCTTTAATCATCGATTTCCCACGGAAGTTCAAATTATGACATTTGCTCCCTGACTAATAGTCAAGGTGTGATTTGTGTTCGTTCTAGCCATGTCTTTCCAAAATTGGACTGAAGCAACTTCGCCATCCAAGGTTAGAACAATGACTCTTTCTTCAAAATCATCATATTAAATTCACTATATAAACAACGTCAATTCTTCATTTTCGCAGATATACTCTGTAGAACAATTAAAAGAGGAAACCAAGCCTCAAGACCTCGTGCAATCGCCAAAGAAATCTAGTAAACCACTTCGCTGCGCAATATTAACTAAAAGTGAGCTAAAGAAAACCAAAAGTGCTACTGGTAACCAGGCATTTTCGATGACACTCTGTGATGAAACACCGACATCCACAATAAGAGCTATTTGTTTCGAAGAAGCATACTACGAGGTCCTCATCCCAACCAAAACGTATATCATTTCCAACTACAAAGTCAAGAAAGGACTACCAGCAAACACCATCCAAATATATATGGACACTGGAACAACAATTGAACAGTCTTCAATACAGTTCAAAGTGGAAAAATCAAACTTCAAAATAGCACAGATTCTTCGCAAAGAAGCAATGCATGTCAACATGCTCAATGTAGAATGTAAAGTGACAGACATCGACGACGTCAAGACAGTTGGAAAGCAGCTAATAAACAAAAGAGATGTCTATTGCTATGACGGCACTGGATCGATAATACTGGTGTTGTGGCGCGAAAGAGCAGAAAATGTGTCCTTTGCTGTAAACGATGTCATCTCAGTAGAAAATGCGATCACCTCGACATACAACAACGTCATCAACTTGTCCACAACCTCCCAAACCATAATTAAGAAACTTCATGGACACGCGCTAGAAAGCCTCACCACTGACGATGTCCCCGCAAGCAGTCCAATTACTCACGACAACATAATCTCCGTCAACACAAAAATACTGCTTATGAAAGATTTTAAGCAAACTGTTCACTGCATTAATTGCAACAACGCTATCCAGCTTCCCACATCTGTTCAAACAGACGAGGACGACAGTGACATTGGAGTAGAATGCAAGGTCTGCACAGCAACATTTCTCTGTGAGGACACAAAGCTCATGAATGAATGCACTGTACGCTTAAAGGATACCTTGGAAGGAGAATCGCTAACAGCTAAGACAGCGGTAAGATACGTAAACAACTAAGGCTCGCTTCAGAGCTAGATTTGCTTTCACTCGTCTTATATCTTATAATTTCTTATTATGTACTGAAATACGACTGAAATTTACAATGTAATTGTAAATCCACTGATATTGACGCATTATATTGACTTCTCACTTTGCCCAACTTTTCCGAAAATCTGTGAATCAGAGAACAAAAGTAACCCACTATATGTTTATTCACTCACACAAAACAATTTGAGAGAATGATTCGTTAAAATTGTGCGTTATTTTCCGTACTTGAAGAAGACAGCTAAATTTCTCAAGCCAGTTATTTCTTTCTCTTGTAAAGGCATAGCCGCCTTTATAGCTACACAAACACACTAAATGTAGACTAGATTACAGACAAGATTACGATTATCCAATCAAATTACACCGTTCCCACGAAATCGCGTCCCGCCCACAAAATGGACACAAAGAATATTAATAAACAATTCTCAACAATTATAGGTGATTAAAAATATCTTCAAATGGATAGAAGCACACCGAAAACCACCCACAAGGAAAGATGTCTTAAATGCCCTCAAGTTACAGTATGTCATGAGGATAAACGTCACAAAAAAGATTATTGAGCACGCACAAATTTCATCACAAAATGAAGACGACGCATTGGAACCCAAACAAATTCGACACGATGAAGGACCCCATGAAGAACTTGACAAAATGAAACAAGATTAGAGCATAGTAATGGCGGAGGAAGGGAGGGGGGGGGGTTAAATATCAGTTCTCAGTACAAAGTTAAGTCATTTATTAGTTGTCAGCTTAACTGAATTACGCCATTTATCAGTTGCCAGTAAAATTCTTGGTTTACCAGGAAAAATACCAGTTTAACGTTCATTTTCAGCAGTTATATTTCCATTGCACGCGTGTTTAGCAACAAAACACTATTTTTACTTGATACATAGTTAAAAAGATGCGTTTAAAACGTTTTTTTGCGTTTTTTCATGTTTTGTTGCTCTTGGTGCTTACAAGGACCATCATACATTTACAAGTTTAACCACAAAATACTACTGGTTATCGCCCAAAAACTCATATTGAATATTAACAGCTATAAATAGTTTAAGATTAGAATTAATATTTAATATTTATTTTATATAGTTAATATTTGATTGTATAGTTTACATCATTATAACATGTTATAACAGTTATAATATAGTATAAAAGACAGACTACTCACCGTTCAATTCACTTTTCAAGGTCATACTGATTGACTCTGGATTAATTGCAAAATTGTCTATCTTGCCATCTACTTTTGATAGTATAATACTATATCCATAGAGAAGCACATGTTGTATGGCTATGTTRTATACACTGCTAAATAAATAGCTAGACTCATTGAGTTTCATGTCACAAGCCATCTTTGAATAATCTCTTTAAAAAAACTGATTTCTGTAAACGACTATCATCACGAAATGACAACGAAGAACAAAAAAAAAAGATCGACTGGATTAAGAGCATGACACTGAAATCAAACAAGATTTAAGGTCATATGCAAAAAATGTCAAAAGTTGAGTTGTTTCCGTAGATAAAATATCAGTGTCGAAGCAAGTAGGGAACTGACAACAAGTCATTGTTGATCCTGTGAGCCTTGTTTACTTATGGTAGAAGTACACACAGTTGAGTTTTACAGTGGTGTATTATTATCGATAAACAAGCACTTAATGTGTTAATTTATTAGCCAATGTTACATGCTAAATAAATGGCTCTGAGCAGTTGTACATCAGTTTTTGTGCCGGCTTCGAATAATATCTCTTGAATATTTCATCTTTACAATGATTTGGTGAAGTTTCATGTAAATATCTTATACGTAACAAAATTTCCGTGGTTGCAAAAACAACTCATAAAATTACATGAAAGAATCATGATGAATTGTACTCAATACTATTGAATATTACAATATCACGTACAAAAAAAAGGGCACGTGTAAACCCTGCATACAGGGTCTAGTTATTATTACAATAATATTGGCAAATCATTGACAACTACACTTCCTATCATTTGTTTGACCAAAAAAACTCATTCATTCATTCTTTCTTTCATTTGATATTCCCATGCATTTTATCAATGTTGAAATAAATGCTCATAAAATATTAATAATGTAGAAGAAATCGTAGCAAAAAAGCTGATACTCTTTCAATTAGTGCAGGCATGAACAGTGGTGTGAACAAAGAAAACCACTTTTTTGGCAGGTGATATATTTTATGCATTATCCTGGGAATGATTTCAGCCATCAATAATCTGAATAATATTGGTCAAATACTTTGCAAACAAATGCAGTATTGGCACGTGTAGTGGGACCGCGGGGATCTGGGCGATGCCAAGTTACAGCAATTTTCTAAAAAAAGTCTTAAGTATGCCTCGTCTCTTTGTAATTCATTATTAATAAGCAGAAAAAGTTATCAAGCAAGGTTTAGCAGGTATCAACACTCACCTGGAAAYGCTTTCAAGCGAGAAAACCTCAAACAAAGCACCCTCGACTTGAATTTCGCGCGATGTCAGTGGGCGCGAAGCTTCTTTGTCTGAATAACATAACAAAACTTTTGATTGGTTCAAATTAATTCCCTCGTGACCTTAAGCCAATCACGAGTATTGTATTATCCTGTTTTTTGGACCRAATCCGCTGAGTATTATCAAGCTGACAAAAAAGTTGCTCGACCTTAATTTTTTGGCAAAGAATTTGTATTTTTAGAAAGACAAGACGACATACGAAATAATTTAGCGGTTTACTGGTGAGTCTGTCAAAAAAAGATTGTTATTTCCTTTCAGGAAAACCCCCCTGAGACCGAGGGAAAACTCCAGCACGAAAAACAAAAGTTTCGAGCTTGTTTGAATATTTGTGAAATATTTAGCCATTGCCTAAGCAATATTGTTTATGATTAATATTGGATGACTGCATTTGTGTGCTTATTTTGATTAGCGTCTGTGTCCAAGCTCATTACGAATTCTTACGACAGTGGTTCGAGAGGTTTCTCTAGAGCGAGAAGAATCGCCGAGAGGTGATAACCACAATCCCTCRCTCCTTCAGTCCCATCGAGTTTTGATTGGCATTTTTCTCTGCAAGTATTGTAAACGTCACATCCASTGTAAATTATCTGGGTAACAAGAGATTTCAAAACTTTAGCGTTCGGAAATCGGACTTGCTTTGAAGTTGGCCATTGATAACTTGTTGCTTATTTGAGTTTAGTTGGAAATTTGGTCACGACCCATTTTGCTTCTTCGAACGAAAACATCGCGCTCAAAAAAAACCATGGATCCAACAATTAACGGAAAGGTCCTCAATGGAAACTCGCATTTCATAAACTCACAGGTGAGATTTTGCACTACAACTTCCTAAAGGCTGAATACGGACAACTTTGTTTATTTCAAGTGCTTCGAATGAAAGSTCCKCACTCAGCTGATTCCATTGAAATGAATGATTCATCGTGTTTTCATGAATTTTCTTTCAAAATGTAATCCAACTTGACTTGATTCGTGTTTCAGCTCAAAAGTTATTCATCAAACTTGGWTGATTCCGTGGTTGATGAGGATTTGGTTTYATGAATTGCAGAATGTCACGATATAAGCTTAGATGTAAAACGTTAAGCTTAAGCTTATATTTATTGTATGCAAAAACTGTATTCATCAATTTTGAGATCGGGACACGTAGCTACTATCTTCAAAATCACGTGAAATTTCTTAAATTTCTTCAAAAACTATTTGATCAAAGCAACGATATCGATTTTCTTTTAACGCGAATCTTAGCTTATATTTCCAAAAAGCTTATTGACATGTTCTAAGCATGATAACACAGAAGTTATTGCATAACAGCATAAAAGAGAGATTTTTACGCGAAAAAAATAGTGTTGTATTTCCCAAAAAACGTAAATATTATTAGATGGTATGTTTTGAAAATATATCTATTCGCACACCGCCTTGTATGGTGGCAAACCATTTTTTTTTTGGCACAATGCTGAAAAGAGTTAATGCATGACTAGCACACATCTCGATTCAGTTAACGTTCAACTGCAGTCACGAAATCCAATAATTACACACGAAATATTTTCAAGAATGTCTTTTTCTTGTATTTGTTTTTCTTCCTGATTAAGAGGTTATCAGCTCAGGTTAAATATCAAGTTAATACTTGGCTTTCAAGTTAGTATTTATTCATAAAATTATCTTTGGCATGTACAGTACATGTAAGGTTCTTGAATGCTTGGGTGGTCACAACAAAGTCTATGAATTTTGAAATCTATAGACATTGTAGTCTCCTTCACAGWCTATCCTTTTGTTGGGCTTCCTGTCCTTTGGGAGGGACAATTATAATAAATAATTGTAATTTCTTATTTAAAAAAATGTATGCACCAGATTGGCTGTGTACAACTTGCATCATTTGTTACCGTTAATGATCACTGTCATTAGATTCGGTGTCTGAAGCAGACCTTAGCCTCCTCAACAAATCAGACAGATGAAAGTTGAACAATACTTGCAAATTAGAGCGGATTTTGTATGAGTGGGAAACGGACGGTACTGTACTGTGTCCGTAATCATACTGTAACCAAATTCTAGTGCCCCATTGTTTCACCAAAATTATGCAGGCCAGGTGCGGTAACTGTGCGGTAACCGTGCTGTAACGATGTCCCACTCATACGAAATCCGCTCTACTTGACAGTATATATAATGATTTTTTACTAATTGCCCTATCCCCTAAAATTCTAAATGCCAAATCTTTCAGTTCTTGTTTGTAGCATTACAATATAATTTATGTTTTGATCTTTTTGTTTGATTTTCAGAATAAAATTCCTCCAAGTTCTCTGCCATTAACTCATAAATCAGACATGCCTTATCATCAGTATCCCATTGACAGAGTTGACTCGGTCGACAGAGCTTTTAAGAGGGATACCTCTAAAAGGTAACAGTTTATATAAGAATATAATTAAGTTCAATACTTTTTTTGCTGTCATTTGTTTAGTGATGACAGTGGGAGCCGTGCATTATTATAGCAATTGATCCTAGGAGGGACTCTTTAGGGTCATAGGGGTGAGGCAGAGGGGTGAGGCAGAGGGGGGAGGCAGAGGGGGAAGGGGGGGTGTGGGGGGGTAAAGAATTGGGTATGATTATTGAACCCTTTCAAAAGTACCACTAAAAGATACCAAAAGCTTTTCTAAGGGGACTTTGGATTTTGCAGACTTTAACCCCAAAATGATAAAAATGCTGAAATCCTTGACCTCAGCAATTTCTATAATTCATATTTTATAAAATTTATTTTTCAGTAGAAACATTGTGTTACAARAACACAATAAGTGATACCAGAAAAGTACTAATTTCCTCAAATTTCAAACTGAATACACTTTAGAAAAGATATGAAAAAATATTTCTATTCGTTCCTAAAACACAAGCATACCTGATCATTTACCAAAGGCGCTCAGACTTTTTCTGATAATGATGTTATTAATATTATAATAAATAGAATTAAAGAACACAATTTTTATTTCACAGAATATTTGTAAATAGAAGTCTCAGCTTGGATAAAATAAAATTCTTTGGTTTTGACATGGACTATACATTAGCAGGTAATGCATTCAAATTTATAGATAAATGCATTGCTGGAAGGATTGAATTATTGAGTTGATTGACTTTTTCTTTCAGTCTACATGTCTCCTGTTTATGAAGCCAAAGCTTTTGAGCTTGTAATTGAAAGACTGGTTTCAATAGGATATCCTAAGGTAAACTGAGAGAGAAAAAATAGGGTGTTATTGCAATGACCAACTTTATATTTGGTTCAGTGGCCATGCACAAAAGAATTACAGACGAGGCTCTGGGGAAATAAAAGAATAAATCAAGATTATCCATGTTTTCCCAGAGCCTCGTGTGCATTTGATCTTTTGTACATAGTCATCGAACCAAAATATCTAAAGATGACTATTGAAGAAAGGAGCAAGTTTCCTTGTTCAATTCTTCTCATAGCATATATATGCAAACATTACTTAGGGAAAATGTGGAAATGAAAGGAAATTGCATGGGTGAAGCAAGCAAGGAAAATATCTCCTTGTCGATTGATATTTTTTGGTACTCCTGTTTGCTCTCTGAAAAGTATTGTTTTTCTGTTCTCCTCTTTCTTTCTTCTTTCTTAATAATTCACATTTGTTCAAGATCTGTTCTTGGTGTGATCTTCATTGCTTTTTTTCAACCTTGGATGGTTGATGGTGCCCCTGTCCTAACTCTTCCTTGCCATGTATGGAATATCAAGGTTAAATTATTTCTGTTTGTTCTCCATTTAGGACCTGATGGGATTTAAATACAATCCATTATTTCCTGTCAGGTATGGAACTCATGTTTCACTATTATATCYAACATTTTAGTTCCATAGACTATTAGTACTAACAATTAATGTCCCTGTAAATTCCAACTTTCTATTCATTAATCATCATCCATATCGTGATCAATCTATTTATGTCAGTCTTGTTTTCAATTAATTTTTTTTAATAATTTTCTTCAGGGGTCTTTTCTTTGACTGTGAATTAGGAAACCTCTTGAAAGTAAGTTATATGACTAGCTGATAAGAATGAGTTGCACTCCTGTGAAAATAAGATGGAGGGGAAGCCATTCCTCTCCTCTCCCCCCCTCCTCCTCCCCTTCCCCCTCCCCCTCCCCCCTTCCACTCCCCTTTCCCTACAGCCACCAAATAGACTGG